AATATAACATTTGGAGTAAGGAAAAAAAATATTTGTACCCTACAAATAAATCAACCTCATTGCCCTTTACCATACCCGGCCTTTCGGCAAAAAATAAATGAACCCAAAAACAAAAAATAAANCCCACCCACCCATTAAATGATGGCAGTGGTGACCAACTCCGTCAAGAATATGTGGGTGGGTGAAGTATTTTTTTATAAATTTATTATTTTTTATTGTTAGGTATGTATAGTTAAATTAACAAATCTTATGGACTAAAAAAATTAAAATATTTTGAATTGAATTGAATAGAATTAGATTTTGGGAACTGTAAAACAAACATGCATTTTATACAAAATAGGATAGGAATAAAGAAAGAAAAACAGCTATGGAGCTCCATTTGTTACGCTTTTTTAAATATTATTTTATTTTAAATAGAATAAAATATGTTTTAACCAAATAAGATATGATTATGATTATATTTGTTAGCTTAACTTAAAAACCTTCACAACAAAAGTTTATAAATTAATTAAAACACCCTTACTCCGCCCGATTGATTGTTGACCGCCAGCCACGGTCGGACATTTCAACTTGGAAACCGCGTAAAACAACAGAGAACAGGCCCAGTACAAATACAAAGCTATTCGTTCGTGTAAATTAACTATATATATAGTGATGAGAGCCCTCTGGCTCTTAGACTGCAAATACATGGAAGCTTTGATTGATTCTTTAAAGATTAAGTTATCCAGCCTTCTAACAAAAAACCACCAATACAGTCCCCCCAACCAATCAACCAATGCTACACGGCCACACATGTAGCTTGTCACCACCACCGTCTAACCCCCACATAGAGAAAATTTCAACAAAAATGTTGCAGCTTATTTCATGTAAAAGAGTTTGAATATTGTACTCACTTCAATCTAAAATGCTTCCTCTCTTCAATACATATCTCCTAGACTATGCACAGCGACTGCCCTTTCATCAACTAAAAGACCCTGCTTAGATGCTTAACACCACAATCATATAAGCATAGCTTCAGTGAAATTGAGATCATATCATTATAAATCTACTCTTGGAACAGTATTTAGTAATTGATTAGAACATAAATCAGCAATGGACTATGAGAAATAGGAAAAAGATTAAAAAGATTGAAGTTCTAAAATTATATAAAAAATTCTAATATAGTCAAAGATACTCAAAAGTATATTTCCTCAAACAAGAAAGAAGAATTCTCCTAATGTACAACAAGACTGTAATGAGATTCCAATACTACCTTATAAAACAAAGCGAGGAACGAATCCCTGAAATACATGATACGTGCAAATTTACATTCTTGATAATGGAAAACTGAAATACAACTATGTATGAGAAAGGAAAATCATACTTCATATGTCACCAACAACATGAATTTAATTTGAGCGAATACAGATTGTGTGAGCTGATATGGGTTGAAACTTCTAAGGCTATGATTGCCATGAGTGCTTCATCATAGCCTCAGAAGCAGAAAGGCATGTCCCAAGATTCACTTCAAGCAAATGAGCAACGAAGTCAATGAAACCCTGGTCCCCCATCAGCAATCAGTGAAATAATAAACTCAATGCCACTATTCTTGAACAACTCAGAGNAAACTCATTCAATTTAAAATAGGGTTATTGTTAGCTACACCCCTTAAACTTTAACATTTGTTAACCCCACCTTCTTCGGAATTAGTCATTTACAGCCCTTTACGTCAAAAAAATTTATGTTAAAGAAAAAAGTTAATGTGAGAAGAGCAACATAGACCTTCTATGTTAAAATATGAAATTATAAAATAAAATATTTTAAAAATTAATAAAAAAAATTAGAAAAGGTTTAAAAAATTAAATTAAAAAAAAAAAAAAAAAAAAACTGTTATCATAAATGAGGATCCCAGATGGCAAATTACTATATGGCATCCATAGCAAGCAGCAGCCCTAGATCACAGTTTACGATCTAGGATCACTGCTTCAGAGATCACAAGCACCAACAATGTAAGATATTGCTAGATGGATGATCTTAGATAGGGGTGTTCAAAAGTGGTTAACCGCTTTTTTGAATCGAACCGGTTTTTAGGTTTGGAAAAATTCTCTAACCGAAATCGAACCGGTTTGGAGGGAAAACCGGTTTTTCGGTTAACTGGTTTTAAACCAGTTTTCCTTTTTTTTTTTTTATAAAACTTTTTTTTTTAATTTTTTCCTAAATAAAATTAATACATATCCAAATAAAAATTAAACATTCATACATATCTATTGACCGCTACTAATAATATATTAAAAATATTATTATTTTTTATTTAATATATATATATTTGTAAAACCGGTTTCGGTTAACCGCTTTTTATTTTTTCCCGAACCGAAAATTCGGTTTTTTGAATTTTTTGAACCGTTTTTTCGGTTAACTGGTTTTTCGGTTCGGTTTGATTTTTACATTTTTTTTAACACCTATAATCTTAGATCGCCAAAATATTGTATTCAGGGAAATCCTGAGAAAATTATAGAGATAACCACAAGTCCACAATCATATCCAACCAAACAAAAGCTGAAGTTGAAGCGAAAACTCACCCCATGATTTACTCCTCCCAGGTAGAAATCAACAAGTACCGATCTGATGCGCCTTCAGTTCAGCAGCCACATAACGTAACGCTCCAAACTTCAATTAATCAGCACAAAAATTAGTCTTTTTAAAATATTGGAAATTTGTAAACAAAGTAACACTCAACATTCAATAAATTATTTAGATTTTAATACATTTACCCCTCAAATAAACTTTTCCCCCTTAGGTATTTGAAATTACAATATAACCCATTTTGTCATTATTTTGTTAGGATTTTCGTTAATTGATTAATACATTTTACACTAAATCAATTAAATTAAATAGATACTGTAATTCATAAATGTGATCTTTTGATAAGGGTATCACATGACAGGCAATGCAAAACACATATTTGTCCTTCAATAATCATAATTTTTCCCTTCAGCTTTCTGCCTTTCCCTAAAACATAATTTCCTATAAAGTATCAAAAATAACCAAAAAAAAACCTCTATTCTTGGATATTAAATTTTATTAAAAAAAAAAAAAAGAATTTATGATAAATTTATCTAAAATAAGAGACTAAATAAAAATATTCATCCACTTACAGTTCATCGTCATTCATCACTCACGGTTGGATAAAATTACAATTAAGATCGATGTCTCCACAACTTATTGTGAATTTGATTTATTGTTCTTAGTTTGCAGCTTTTCAAACAACATATCTTATGCCAATTTATGGAGCAAGTGCTACTATTGGCATAGATAATCCACCTGTGAAAATGAATCAAATAAGTGCAGCTACAATCTGGATACAAAATGGAGAAGGTTCTCGACCTAATAGTTTGCAAATTGGATGGGCAGTAAGTTCCTCTACAGATAATAATTTCGAATGTTTTATCACTAAATTAATTATACACACTACTAAATTATGACATATTTTTATAATTTTTACATCAAATTTTTAAGACTCCTTGTCAAAAATTGGATTGTAATAAGAGAATTTTTTTATTAAATGTGCAAGCTGCATATAATTGAAATACAAACCTATTTTGTGTATAATTGATGCTTACTTTAATTTTTCAATTGAAGAATTAGAAGGAAAATAAAATTGATTTCGCATTATATTGTAGATGCAGCCACGTCTTTTGTGGCGACAATCTCTCACGACTGCATAGTACTGGACGGTAAGAATCATAAATAAGTTAATTTCCTTGAAATATGGCTAACTTATCATATTTATAATGTAGTGTTATATATATTTTTCAGGACAAAGCAACAAGTAATTGGTGGCTGTCATTAGATAATAACCAATACAGTGGGATATTGGCCGGATAACAGTTTAACCGATTAAAAAGGGGCAAGTTTTCTTCAATTCGGTGGATGGCTATAACAATTCTCCAGATGGTTGAGTCCACCAATGGGAATTGATCATTTTCAAAACACAACATCAAATAATCAAGCTTTTTTTTTTTTTTCAAACGTAAATATCAGATGATCGTCTTTTGAAGGATATTATAGACCGCAGAAAGTTGCTGATAATCCTAAATGTTATGATGCCATGTACTGGGGTATCTGACTCAATATTATTATACTTGGTTGTTTATTCAATATTGAGAAAGTGTTTCAATAAAATCAACCACTGTTATATTATTATAAAGAGATGAAAGAAAGAAATTAATATACTGTATTTATTGATACTTTTCATATCATTATAGAAGAATTACTAGTTTATAATTGACATTACCAACAACTGGATTAAAATCCCAGATAATTAATTTAGAATCAATAATTGACAAGCAAAAACAAAAGTAGAGGTGTCTTATCCGATAAAGAATTGATTCTTAATTGGCATTAACCATAGATAAATTTATAGCTTCTTTATACTAACTAGATCTATTAAACAATATCAATAATTTAATTGGCAGAAATAAGACATTTTAAACGATAAATGATATGTTTTTCACCAAAAAAAATTCCTATTAAATTCATTTTAATGTTGAACATCGAGTCCTATATTAGCCTTCTAAATTTTGAACTATATAAAAGAGAAAGAGGATATTCAAATAATTAGAAATCGGAAAATCCATAAGATTGATACGATTATGTTCTTTATTGTATAGGGCTAATCAAATTCTAGCCCCGCACTTACCACCTGGACCTCCAAAGGTGAAGCAATAATACATTTCATTATGCCCACAATTTCTCTGATTTAATAAGACATACAACCAGATTTGTCAACAATTCCTCTGTTGCATCAATACTGGATTTTGGTATTTATTTTGATCGTTGACGAAATGAATATTTCGAAAGTAACAACCAATTCTAAAATTACCATCCGGCTTATAACCACTTCCCATCGGGGCTTATCCCATTGTTTCCAGCTATAGCAATTCCACCCCAACACAGTTTCAGCTCCATCACTTAAATGTAAACAGTTCCTTAGCCAATAACCACAAACGTATTGTTATTAGTTACCACAACCACCAATTCCCAGTTGGTCGATCCTACAGAGTCAAATAACAATAACAATTGTAGTTTAATATCTTAATATTGTAAACAGAAAATAATCTTAATGTCTGTTACCTGATAAATAAGGTACTTTGTGTCATACTGGCTACCACCCCAAAATGAAATTGCGATACAATCACCTGGAGTTATCAGTATCTATTGTTATAAAACCTGAGCAAAGTTGGTTGTAGCATCCGGTGATCCAGCATTATCTGCCTGTTTGAATCAAAATCTAACATAATTATGTTATAGCAAAGAATCAGCTAAAATAATTGAAATACTTACTGTCCAAAATGTGAAAAGTCGAGTGTGGTCATCTCCATATAACATGGGCGAAACCTATCCGATTAAAATATGTGTTAAACGCAAAACATATTCGAATTGTCATATGTTAAACACATGGCTATTGACTTGGCGGCTGTATTTCAGTTATGAATATCTCATAGTTCATGTAATAGAATCGAATAGCCATCACATCATTTGGGATATTTGAACAGTTTTAAATATTGATAGATTAATATCTAACAATTGAGTACAACATATTTTCTACATATTTTATTATTAAGTTAAAAGTTTTCAATAATAAAAGGCAACGGAATCTTATATCGCAATTTTAGCCTTTTTAATTCTCACCTAGAGAAGAGAGGAAGAGGAAAATAACATGAAAGTAAACTAGAAATTTACCGTCCATCCAGCAAGTATGACATTTAATTGATCAGGAGGACCATTTTGAACCCACATATTTGTGGATGAATGTTGGTCTCCAGCCACATTTAAGCCCCATGATGCAATATATGCTTCAGCTCCAAAATAAGGCACGCCCTTTTTCATGCCTAAATTTACTACCTATAAGCCATGCATAAACATTTAGGTACGCATCAATGAAGCACTAATTAACATTGTGATTAAAAAGAGGGGATCTAAACAATATATTAATTTTAAGCATATAAATATTATTAACATTAAGATCAAATTGTAATGACAAAAACAAAATGAACTTCATTTCTTAGTATTAAAATTTACTAGTTATATGACATGGTAAAGTACATATTAAATATATAATAATTATATCTTTAGTGCTTTACATATTGAGAGATAGAAAAAAGAGATTAACATAAAAATCATAAAATATTTAGAAAGTCAATCCAAATAAAAAGATGAGCCTCTTATTATATATACACAGAGACATGCATATTGAAATAGAAAAATCTTTTACATTTCGTATTAAAAAATATCTTCCCATTGTAGAAATATAAAATCTTTCCATGGGCATACAATTTATTTTTTATCACATCATATAATGCCACAACAATTGAGATTTAAAATTTGAAACGAGAATTGGAAATATGTATCATTAAAAAGTAGAAATTTGTCAAGAAAAGAAGATGCCTATTTCTTACATGTACATGGCTACGATTGGGGAAGTCCGTTTCTGGATGTATAGTAGCCATAGATTCCTTTTGCAATGATCTAACTCTTATTAAATCTTCTTTTGAAGTTCTTCTTATTGGAACAGTGCCAGCTGGGCATGGTTCCCTATTCTGTCTTATGTCAAAAGTTTTTGATGTTGATGAAGTTTCAGGCAATTGCAACCCAGTAGGAAATGTAGTTGGTCTCGTCTAATACACAAAAAAAACATATGTTTCACTTCTGCCATCATTTAATATATCTTTAAATTGACAAAAAATTTGCAACAAATTAATAAAGAAGTTACCTGAACTTTGTGGTTCATCAGGAGAGGATGGTCAAGCGCGGGTTGTTTATTAATATCAATACAGTCCATAATGTCACCTTCTGCTGTCTAGCAAAACATTTGAGTTTAATTATAGAATTTCCGAAAACTAATATTGATTTGACATATTCTTAATCAACAATGTATGATTTTGAATTTAAATTGCAGGTGGATATTGATCGGTCATCACATACCTTAATTGTTTTGATGGGCGGCTTATTGAGAATTTTGAGTTGTCTTTCCAACTCCAGATCTTCATCTTTTGAAAGAAAGATATTTGCCAGGCTAAAACCACAGCTCGAACAAATGAATAAAATGGCTATAATTGATACCACTTTCAAAGTCATGATGAAGAAAACTCCAAAATACTATTGGTGAAGACGAAGTACTGTAAAATAACCTTGCAACGTAACCAAGCTCTATTTCATAATTCTTAGCTTTTCATGTAATAAATGCACATTGCTTATAAAATGCAAGTTTATGTACCTAATTAAGCTGGCAGTTTAATTGTATGGAAGGCTATTAAATGGTTTGCATTTTCACTGTTCTGTCATATTCATTGTATGCTTAATATNTTGATACCACTTTCAAAGTCATGATGAAGAAAACTCCAAAATACTATTGGTGAAGACGAAGTACTGTAAAATAACCTTGCAACCGAGCTCTATTTCATAATTCTCAGCTTTTCATGTAATAAATGCACATTGCTTATAAAATGCAAGTTTATGTACCTAATTAAGCTGGCAGTTTAATTGTATGGAAGGCTATTAAATGGTTTGCATTTTCACTGTTCTGTCATATTCATTGTATGCTTAATATATCTCCGACTGTAATTTACAATTGCTTGACAAAGTGTGATTGTGCGGTTTTATTATGATTAAGGTGAGTTTATGGAAGGAGTTTTGTGTTAATTATGTGAAAAGATATTTTAACTGTTTTCATAACGTAATGACAAACCACCATTATAAAATGAAAGTTTATATAACTAAGCTGGCAGTCGACTTTAACTAGGGGTGGAAAAGACTGGTATCTTGAACCGAACCGGTTTTCGGTTTAAAAAAAAATTAAACTAAAACCGGTCCGATTTCGGTTATAAACCAATTTAAAACTGAACTAAAAATTCGGTTCAGTTAACCGATTTTAAACCGGTTAATTATGATGGGCTGCATTTATTCAACCCAATTCGGTCAAACCTTCCACTTTGGCCCATTTTTTTTCCAGTTTTTTTTTTTAACTTGAATTAAAGTTATATTTATTGTAATTAAATAATTTGATTCATATAATTTTAATGTATATCAAGTATTAATAATTTAAAATTACATTAGTTAAGACCTAGGGATAATTTTTTTTTAAATGTGCAAAATATAAAATTATTTTTTTAAAAATTGAATTGTGGAAAATGCGCATTAGTGAAGATCTAGGGATAAATTTTTTAAAAATTGAAAAATATGAAATTATTTTTTTATTCATTAAACCGGTTTAAAAATCCGGTTCGGTTAACCCTTTTTGTTATTTCAAAAAACCGAAACCAAACTGAATATTCGGTTTACAAAATATGGCAAACTGAACCGAAACTGGAAAAAAACCGAATTTTCAAACTGGCTTTGGTCTAGTTTTCGGGTTTTTTTTTCCACCCCTAACTTATTTAAGAGGCAATTCACTGTTCTATATCATTATTATCTCATCGAATTAAAAATTAGTAAATGTGTTTATTTACTTATTTGACTAATCTAATCTGAAAATTAATCCAATTAAAATAAGATTTTTTTGTCTAAAAGTAAAAAGAGGGTGAGACTTGTTTTCAGATTATTCAACTGAAAACATTTTTCTTTCTCTCTTTCTCATTTTTCTTTCCTTCTAATCTAAAAATTACTACCCAAGACCACCACCACTGGCCGACATGACCAAAACAGTACATATTCAGCCAAATCCAGCCAATCGTGTGCCGTTCCGTTGATTATTAGTTGTCATCCGGTGGTGGTGACCAACGGCTAGCTGTCCTCTTGGGTGGCTGTGGTGCTTTAATTTTTAAACTTTTTATTGTCAAGGTATTTAACTAAATTAACAAATGTAGACGGTTACAAAAATAATCTAAATATTTTTAAAAAATATAAAAAAACAACTATTATGTCTTAAAAACCCATTTTTTAAAATCCTTTTTCAAAAAGTATACCAAAAAACTATTCAGCATCTTATTCAACTCTGATATAATTTTTAGATATGTTACAAACACATTTTTATATTCAAATCCAACTTTTTCACAATAACATTTTTTAAAAAGTGTCACAAACATGCCCTTATATTTTCATTATTATTTCCAGTTATTCTAGCTATAGCAAAATTATATTTTCAGGAATATGTGCGTGTTCCTTATTTATAACCTTCAAAGAATTTTATTACTTCAAATTGTTTAGTATTTCTTTAATTTTAAATCTATGACCTAATTTTTTATTTTAAATGAGATGGTGAGTTATTTGGAAGAGTAATGCTACAACTACCGAAAGGAGCGCACCGAATGACGTGACGCAATCATGACCGTCGATTAATATTAACTCATAATTAATCGACGGTCAAGATTGTGTCACGTCATTCGGTGCATGAATTTAGTGTGCTCCTTTCGGTAACTATATTATTTTCCTATTTGGAAGGCCATCGTGACAATAATGAATAATTTTCTTGTGCTGGGAGCACATGATAAATAATTTTGATGATAGTAAATCATAGATAATATAGGTTTTAAAAAAAAAAAAAAATAGTTTTAATTTGAAGATTAATTTGAATTTTTGAAATAAAAAAATAATATTTCTTTTCCTTTTTACTGGTGTGGTTTATGCCCTAGATTCAATATAAAATAATAAAATATAATCTTTTAAGTAAGATTATGCATTACTGCATATGGTTGTTATAGTTTATACAAAAATAAAAATTTTATTGAAGACATTGCATTCGTGACAACTGCATAAATAATCTCCTACTAACCATATAACGTGGTCTTGCCAAAGAAAAATTTACATAAAACTTAGAAATAAAATTACTTAAAGGTAGCGTTTGGTTCAGGGAATGTTATATTATTGAGGAATATTGTATTACTGGAAAGATAGATTACTAAGGAATCTTTAGAGAAATGTGTTTGGTCAGTTGGAATAAATTGATGGGTATGTTATAATAATATATTTGGTTGGGAGGATAAATGAGTGGGTATGTTATATAGATTACTAAATTGCCCTCATTTTAAAATAATAATATAATATTATTTTTTAAATTATTTCTTTTAACCCCCTATATTTGAAATTTTACCAAAACACCCCAACCATATACAACTTTAATTTATAACAAAATCACCCCTACTCACCCCAAGCCACCGCCGGCAGCCACCACCACCACCGGAAGCTGCTATAATGGCGCACGTCGTATGCTGATCAGGCCTAATCCGGCCAGATTTGGCCGTGAATATGGTCGTTTCACGGCTAGACCTGGCTGTTAATATGGCCATTTCACGGCCATAGATCTGGCCATGAAAAGACCAGATCTTTGGCCGTGAAACGGCGACCGTTTCACGGCCAGATCTACAGCGTTCGCTGTTTCACGGCCAGATCTACGGCGTTTCACGGCCACATCTTTGGCCGTGAAACGACCAGATTTGGTCGTTTCCGGCCATGAATCACAAATCCATGGTCAAAAATGTCCTTATCGGCACATGACCGGCAAGATCCTGTCGGTCTTGTGCCGATATGAAGACTTTCACCAGTGGCCAGCGGTGGTGGCTAGCGGTCGGCGGTGGTCTTGGATGATTAGGGGTATTTTGTTAACTTTTAAACTTTTTTGTGACGGGGGTGTTTTAGCTAAGTTCTCAAATGTAGGGGGTCTGGGCTAATTGTTATTTGGTAGACATATGAGGGCAAATGTGTCTGGAATGATAAAATATTAAGGGCAAAATAGGGTAAAAATTATGATTACCCCGGTAATCTAACATTAACACCCCCTGGGAAGGTAATCTGATTACCCCCAATATTACCAATAGTAACCACTATTTGCAATAAAATATTACTGTAATATTATATTACTTGACAACCAAATAAGAGAATCTTGAAAATTAAACAAAGATTACAGGATTTATCTTATTTCACTGGCTTTGGTCTAGTTTTCGGGTTTTTTTACCTTCCACAAGCTTTTCATGTAATAAATGCACATTGCTTATAAAATGCAAGTTTATGTACCTAATTAAGCTGGCAGTTTAATTGTATGGAAGGCTATTAAATGGTTTGCATTTTCACTGTTCTGTCATATTCATTGTATGCTTAATATATCTCTTGACTGTAATTTAGAATTGCTTGACAAATGACGAAGTGTGATTGTGCTGTTTTATTATAATTAAGGTGAGTTTATGGAATGAGTTTTGTGTTAATTATGTGAAAAGATATTTTCACTGTTTTCATAACGTAATGACAAACTACCATTATAAAATGAAAGTTTATATAACTAGGCTGGCAGTTTACTTTAACTAGGGGTGAAAAAAACCGGTTAACCGATATCTTGAACCGAACCGATTTTTGGTTTAAAAAAAAAACTGAACTAAAACCGGCCCGGTTTTAATTATAAGCCGGTTTAAAACTGAGCCGAATTTTCGGTTCGGTTAACTAGTTTTAAACCGGTTAATTATGATGGGCTGCATTTGTTCAGCCCAATTCAGTCAAACCTTTCACTTTGGCCCTTTTTTTCACCTTTTTTTTTTAAGTTGAATTAAAGTTATATTTATTGTAATTGAATAATTTGAATTCATATAATTTTAATGTACATCAAGTATTAATAATTTAAAATTACATTAGTAAAGACCTAGGGATAAATTTTTTAAAAATGCGCAAAATATAAAATTATTTTTTTAAAAATTGAATTTTGGAAAATGCACATTAGTGAAGACCTAGGGATAAATTTTTTAAAAATTAAAAATTATTTTTTTATTCATTAAACCGGTTTAAAAATCCGGTTCGATAACCATTTTTGTTATTTCAAAAAAGGGAAACCGAACCGAATATTCGGTTTACAAAATATGGCAAATCAAACCAAAACCGGAAAAAAACTGAATTTTCAAACGGGTTTCGGTCTGGTTTTTGGTTTTTTTTTTTTTTTTCCACCCCTAACTTTAAGAGGCAGTTCACTATTCTATATCATTATTATCTCATCGAATTAAAAATTAGTATATGTGTTTATTTACTTATTGGATTAAACTTGAAAATTAATCAAATTCAAATAAGATTTTTTGTCTAAAAATAAAAAGAGGGTGAGACTTGTTTTCAAATTATTCAATTGAAGACATTTTCTCTCTCTTTCTCATTTTTCTCTCCTTCTA